CTCCAATTGGTAACCTTTTCCCATACAGATACAATAAAATAGCATTGTTTTCCAACTCTTCAAAAGACTTGTGTAATATTACGTATTACAGTTATTTGTATTTGTGTTTTATCACCCTTATAAAGCACAAGCTCCATGCTGGTCAGGGCCCACTCTTATCTAAATCAAAAGTTTCAAAAATGCTAGGCTCAAGACATTCTGAGTGCCCTCCAAACCAGATTAAAATTAACTGGAAAATATTTAACAAAAAAAAAAATAGAATAAAACATTGATAATATCACATTTTATAACTAAGTGATTATCTGCGGTGATCCTTATGTATGGATTAGTGGCCCCCATTTCTACTTGAGTTTGACACCACTGATCTAAACCATTTTACTCAACGTTCTCCATGTTCCAGCTACTTCTATGTCAGTGTTGGACCCCTTTGTGGAATAGAAAAAGCTCTGGACGTGGGTTCTAGTCCTTGCTCTGCCACAAATATTTATTTAACCCCTATGGGCAAGGCACTGCACTAAGCACTATGCGGATACACTGAAGAATAAGAGGTCACTAATCTCAAGGAGTTTAGAGTTTAAGGGAAGTGGCAAGACATGTTGTTCATCTTTCATTTTTGAAGAGGACCAATGACATCATGGGGTAATGTCGTGACCACCAAATTGGATTTAAGAGAGGCAGAATTGCACAAAGTCTTCAGTCTCACTTTCTATTCCAGAGTCATCAAAGTCCAGCGGCAAGACAAAACTCAAGACAACTGGTGATGGCCCAAGATGCAATGGATAACCTTAGAGTCTTGAATGTCTGACCAAGCTCTAAGCGCCCTACTGAATCTGCTTCAGCCACCTTCATGGCCATCAGGACAAACTGTTCTCATCCACCCATTCCACAAGGGGGAAGTCTTCACATGCTTGGGAAAGACATCCTAAGTCATAGATGGGTATGAGGCCTATAGGTTACCCTCAACTTGGTTAAACCTGCTTGCCACACAGTTTAGCAGGGTGTGGCCATTGAGCATGCTATAGCTTCTTGGAGCAACAGGTGAGAACTAGATGACAGCTGGACACTAAAGGTGGATGAGCAACCCTGAAAAGGGCTCAGCAAGCTCTCAAACCAGAGGTACTAGTCCTGCCTGAACATCAAATACACCCCAGTAAATATAAGATACAACTGTATTTCCCATTACTGAAGGTCTTAAGGCAGGGTTAGACAATTACCTTTCACAGACTGATACAGAAGGAATTCTTTTCAGATAGAAGTTGAAACAGATGACCTATTCATAGATAAAAAGGCTCAAATACAGTATACCAAAACATTTTTTAGCAGCATTTTTTGTGGTAGAAAAAAGCTGGAAACAATGTTGATACCCAATGACTGGAGAATGATGAAACAAGCTATAGTACAAGAATGTAATAGAAATATCATTACACTATGGGAAGTGAATATGAATACAGAGAAGCCCGGAAAGACAAGAACAAGTGAAATGGGCAGAGCAACATACAAACACTATAGTGAAAATTGAGAGAAATGATTATTAATAACCAATGATTTGGGGACATTCAGATTTCCCCCTTTTTCTTTTATCCTCATTTCAAGACCTCAATCTCTGAAGGTTGAACTAACCTTCTTCTCTTATCAGATCCCACCCAGGTGGGAAAGCCATAGTGTTCCACTCAGGTTTGGGTGGGGATAAATTCTTTGAACAGATTGTCCAAGGCTAAGGGTAACTTAAGAAATAAATAACATAATCAAGAGTTCAGGGTCAGTCCCTCACTGTAATGTTCATTCTCACTGGTTAGTTGTTAACCAATCAAAGTTGGTTGCCATCCTCAGAACACTCCTCTTCCAATGGCCTTTAGTCTAAGAGAGAGAGGACCAAATGACCATCCTTTTATTAAAATGCTGGCATTATTAATAAAATGGTTAAATTACCCAGAAAATTATATCTTTCAAACCTTTTAAAAGGCCACAAAATGGGAAAAAAAAACACTAATAAAACAATCAGAAGTGAATGTCTCAAAGTTATAGAGAGCAGGTGTGGCAACAAAAAGAAGAGAGAAGACACCTTCCCCACCCCTTTGCAGAGGTAGGGATGGATCCATGGTTGTGGAATTGCAAATAATATCAAATTTTTTCAATGTATTGATTTGATTTTGCTCAATTTTTTTCCTTTTCTGCCTTCTTTCTAAAAGAAAAATTCTTTGTTATTAAAAAAAATACTCTATAGGAAAGGGAAGGGGAAAAGACAGGAAAATTTAGACGATGTAAAAATAAAAGACATCATTAAAAAAGTTATTTTTTAAAATGACCTCTGATGACCTTTTTAGTTCTGAAAGCATGATTCTAGATAAAAGTTTGAGAAAAGAGATAACAAACATTTGTGACAGTTCAGAGGTATCAGAGATTACTTCATGCTTGAAGTCAAGCAAGGCTTTCTAGAAAAACTGATACCCTATATTCCTTGATTTCCTCCATAACACAGGTTGTACCTTTTCTCATACCTATGATATACTTCTCCTGGAAGGAGAGCTGGAATACTCATTATTCCCCAAGGGCACTTCCTGATTCTCCCCTTACCTTATCCCTCAGTAAGTTTTCCAACTTTGAAGTCCACTCATACGAAATTTTCCACCCAATCTACCCTGTAGTATAACCCCTGGTCGTTCTCTCTTTCTCAAGGAGTTCAGCATCTGGCTCAGTATCTTTCTTTCCTCCCCAACTCCTACCATTATCTAAGCAACCTGAATATTTACAAAGGCGCTCCCCCAAACTCCTTAACCTCCCAATTCAACTTCTTAAATCCCATATCCTATTCCTTCAATTCCACCTCAGCCATAAAGATTGTTATACTTTAGACCTCATAATTAGCCACATCTCCTTAATTAGAAACCCTGACACTTGTCTATCTAACTATAATCCATCATTCTACCTCTCCCTATGCCTCTCCCTCTCTTAAATCTCTTCTCCATACTAAGAAAACCTCTGATCTTTCAGTACTTTCTAAGGCTACGACATCTGCCTTGACTTAACTTTCCTCCCTTACATCAACTTAGTATGTAGCCAATTCAGCTCTATACAATCCTCTGCTTTTGAATCCCCTGCCTTCTTGGTCCTATCAGGGCCCTCTTCTCTTGCTAAACCTCAGCTCCGGTTTACTCCCACTATCTGAATCTGTTCTTACTCACACACCACTGAACAAAACTGGAAGAAATCTCACAACCATAAAAACTAGATGCATTACAAATTCAAGCTATCAAACCTTAATACCTCACTTCGGCAAGGGAATCCTTTTATTATCCCACAACTGAATGTCTATCTCGTGCCCCACATAAACTGTTACAAACCTTCTCTTCTCTCCTCAAGCTTCCCAAACTTCTTCCCCAATCCCCATTCTCTGCTGAAGATCTTGGCTGTTACTTTACCGAGAAAAGGTGAGCTTCCTCTTCATCTCTAAACAACCAGAAATCATCTCCTACTCTCCTCCTTCCCCCCAGACTCGGTCAGAGTTGGCCCATCTCCTTACTAAGGTCAACCCCTCTCACATCTGCACTTGATCCTATCCCCTCCTGTCTTCTCTACTCTCTGATTCTCAACCTCTCCCTATCCACTGGTTCCATCCTTAATGCCTTCAAACATGGCCAAGTTTCCCACCTTCTTTAACAAACAAACAAAAAAAAACCTTCACTAGACATTTGTATCATCTCAACCTATCATTCTGCATCTCTCCTCCTTTTCTCAACCAAAGGCCTTAAAAAAGCTATTCTAGGCATCTTCATTGCCTCCACTTCTCATCTCTCACTCCTCAACTTTTTGCAATCTGGCTTCTGACCTCAATGAAATAAAACTGCTCTCCAAAGTTACCAACAATCCTAACCCTAACTGCCAAATCTGATGGTCTTTTCTCAGTCCTTATCCTTCTTGACCTATCTGTTGCTTCTGACAATAATGACTCTCCTCTTCTCAAAGATACTCCTGCTCAACAAACTTTTATTCTTTAAACATCCCAAATACTTACTAAAGGTCAAACTCCTTAGTCTGGAAATCAAGGCCCTCCACAACCTAGCCCCCCTATTTTTCCAGTCTTTTTCTTACACTATTATTCTCTAAGTACTACATGTTCCTGACAAATGGAAAATTGCCATCTCTTAACACACCATAATGTTTCCAGGCTCTCTGTATTTGCTTATGTCACCTGCTCCTACTAAACTGAGTTCCACACATGTAGGAATCCAATTTTATCTAAACTTTGGAAAGCCTCAGGACCTCTACATACTGCTGGTTAAAAATAAATTTCTGCTGAATTTAATATATTTCAGCTAAATGTTTAGCAAAGCATACTACAACCAAAAATTAGGGTTGCAAAAAAAAATTGGTAATTTTTTTTCTGATAGATAAAAAAGTTCCCTATAATCAGAAATGTTGTAAAGCAGAAGAAAGGGACTGTATCACTTCTGAAATTCCTCCTAGCTCAGATTCTGCGATTGAAACATGTAAAGTGAACCTGAGTACAGCAATCTAGATCTAGACCCAGCTCTGCTAGCCCACAGTGTTTGGCACCGAGTAGGAAGACCTGTGTTGAAAACAGGTTTCAGACACTTACTGGCTTATGTGGTCCTGAGCAAGTCATTTAACCTCTGTATGCCTCAGTTTCCTCAACTGTAAAGTGAAAATAACAGTAGTACCTTCCTCCCAGGGTTGTTGTGAGAATCAAATGAGTTATTTGTAAAGCGCTTAGCAGTGTCTGACAACATAACAGGTTACATGCTTAATCAATGCTTGTTCCCTTAATAAATATTTTCTTTCTTAAGCTACTTGTCTGTGTGCCCTGGGTAAATCACTTCTTCTACCAGTGCCTAGGTGTCCCTATATGCAAAATGAGGGAGTAGGAACGAGTGTTCCCTTCATCTCTACAGTCACTTCCAATTCTGAAGACCCCACAGTTCACGAACCCTGGAAAACCGTTAGCAATCACTGCAGGGGGCCGGGAGAAGGCGGTGCCTCACCTTGGGTGGCAGCAGCCGCGGCGGCGGCGGCGGGGGGTCCGGACCCCAGTGCTGGGCCACCTGTTGGGCTGCGTCCTGCAGCCGCCGGGCCGCATCGTGCACGACGCTAAAGCCGCAGCTCCCGCGCGGCCCGAGGCCCGCAGTCCCGTGGGGGCGGGGCGGCGGCGGCGGCGCTTTCTTCACCTGCTCCAGCACCCGCTGGAGGTCCTCGGGCGCGAGGGGAGCCGGGGGAGAGAAGAAGCCGGGCTGCGGCGGCTCGGCCTCCGCCCACGGGGCCGGGATCTCTGCCAGACTCCCCGCCGGTGGGATGCAGACAGCGGTCCTGCCGGGAACTGGAGTCGAGAGCTCCCGGAAGACGTCGCCCTCTTCGCCGTTCTCCTCTGCCTCCGCTTCAGCCATAGCTCAGCCTGGAAGGCGCGGCGGGAGCGGGAGCGGGAGCGCGAGCGCGAGCTCGAGTTCGAGCTCAAAACCCGGGAACTGCACGAGCGCAGCCGAAGTGACGACATCCTCAGGCGCCGAAGCCATTGGATGGCGACTTCGTTGAGCATCATGGAGGGGGAGGGGTTGGGGCTACGGGTTCCTCCAAGGACAATATTCCTCTGAAGACAACCTTCACCTAGGAGATAATTAGCAGATTGCTGAGGTCGCAGGATTTCAGAGGGCCCCTAGTTTAACTCATACGATTCGCTCATGTGCTCTTCCTTTTCTTGAAGGCCACCCCAAATCCCAGAACACTAGATTCGGAGTCTGAAGATGTAAGTTTGAATCACTTCCATCCTGCGGATTTCTCGTTCCTCCTCCTGGACCTTTATTTTGCCCATTTTTGCCTCCTCCTGATTTATACTTGATTATATTCTGATAGAGTGCTAGACCTGGAGTCTGGAAGCTCCGAGTTCAAGTTCGGACCTCAGACATGCGTTGTGTGACCCTGGGCACTACACAACCCCTTGTCTCCCTCAGTTTCCTCATCAGTAAAATGGGAACAGATGTGGGGGTGGAAAGGGGAGGTTGTAAGTCTAAAGTGAGATCATATTTGTTAAGTGTTTTACAAACGTGAAAGCGCTGTATAAGTGCTAGCTATTTTTATTATTCTTTACCCCTTCATTTGAAAGCATTGATCTGTCTTTTTATCAGCAGCCTGATGGGAAGCCTTAACATTGCAAAGTCTTAGCATTTATTGAATGAATGAGGGATAGGACAAGGACAGGATGTAAACTCAATCAGCATTGATCACCCAGGCACCATTTTAGGTCAGAGCCCAATCACTTCTCCCTGGACTGTTATAATTGATATATAATTGGTCTGTTTTCCTCAAGGCTTTCCCTTCTACAATCCACAGCACACATTATTGCCAAAATTATTTTCCTAAAGAGTGAGTACACTCAATAGACTCGAGGGGTTCCCTTTTATCCCTAGGATCACTATAAACTTTAAAGTTCTTCATTATCCTACCTCTTCACATCTTTCCACTGTTCTTATACATTACTTTTTCCACCTGCTTTATGGTTCAGCCAGACTAATATATTTTCAATTTGGTTTTCCTCTTTAAAAAAAAAAATCAGATTAACTAATGATTTATGTTTCATTGGATTTTTTTTAAAAACAGCTTTTATTTTAATCTGTCAGATGAAATCAAATGAAGTAATGTATAGTGCTTTGCAAACCTTAAAGACCTATATAACTACTAGCCATTGTTATTATTTAACAATTCAGTGGGGTTTTGATTTTTTGTATTTATCTTTTCTTCAATTTGTAGTTTCTTTACCTTTTAAGTTGCATGCTCAGTTCATTGATTTGTTCTTGCTTTTTTTTGGTTACATTTTGAGTTCCAAATTTTCTCCTTCCCTTCCTCCCAACTCAGCATTAGAGAAGGCCAATATTTGGGGTGTGTGTGTGTGTAACAATACATATACATTATAATATATTAATATTAACATATATTAATATATATATAACTATACAATACATATGCCCATATATCACTTCTTTCTCTGGAGGAGGATAGCATTTTCATTTATAAAGTCCTTCGTAGATGATTTGAATCATCATATTACACTCAGAATGGTTTAGTCATTCACATTTATTCTTCACACAATACTGATATTACTATATATAATGTTTTCATAGTTATATTCATTTCACTTTGCATTATTGATAAGTCTTTTCATGTTTTCTAAAACCAACCTGCCTGTCATTTCTTACAGCAGAGTAATATTCCATCACAATCATATACCATACCTTATTCAGCCATTCCCCAATTGATGGGCATCTCCTCATTTTCAAGTTCTTTGCTCCCACAAAGACAGCTGCTACAAATACCTTAAAACACATAGGTTGAATAAAACCTATGTAGCCAAGAATAGAAGAAATGCAGAAAATTGAGGAAAAAAACTTTCATAGACAATCCTTCAGATAGGATGTGATTGAATTGGAATATTGCTGTGGTATAGGAAATGATGAGCTGGTTGACCTAGAAAAACATGGAAAGACTTGGACTTATGAAGGAAGATGCTATCCACCTTCAAAAAAAACATGATAGGAAGAAATAAGCATGGTATGGTCTTACATATATATGTATGAGTGTGTATGTGTATGCATGTATATATTTATAGGTAGATATGTACATGTATATATATCCAAGCTTAATTGTAGCCTTCTTTAGGGTGGTGGGGGGAGAGAGAGGAAAAAAAATAAAGTAAAAAGTGAACAGCAAAGAACAAAAGAAAACCAACAAGGAAGCAAAGCTGGGCATCTCTGAAAACAATGTGCAGAATTTATTATATAGATTTTCTTGAAATGGAAATGTATTGTTATATATTGAATCCTCTCTTATGGTCTACTGTGCACATGGCAATGTTGGGTTTTTTTTTCTTTTCTCATTTTGTATTTAAGTTTAAAATAAAAAATTGTATTAAAACAATAGGAAAAATAAATAAAATAAATGTTAAAATTGTCTTTACATATTTAAAAAAAAAAGAACGTATAGGTTCTTTTCCTTTTCCCCTGATCACCTTGGGAAACAAAGGACATACACAGTTTTATAATTCTTTGGGCATAATTCCAAATTGCTCTTCAAAATGGTTGGATCAAGGGGCAGCTACGTGGCACAGTGGTTGGAGCCCTGGCCCTGAATTCAGGAGTACCTGAGTTCAAATCTGGCCTCAGATCAAACACTTGACACTTACTAGCCGTGTGACCCTAGGCAAGTTACTTAACCCCAATTGCCTAAAACAAAAAAAAAAAAAGGTTGGATCAGTTAACAATTCCACCAACAGTCCCAATTTTTCCATATCCCCTCCATTATTTGTCACTTTTTTCTTCTATCATTTTAACCAATCTGATAGATGTGAGATATCTCAAAGCTGTTTTAATTTGCATTTCTCTAATCAAGAATGATTTAGGGCATTTTTTCATATGACTATATGTAGCTTTGATTTCTTCATCCAAAAACTGCCAGATCATATCCTTTGACCATTTGTCAATGGGAGGATGACTCTTGTTCGTATAAATTTGACAAAGTTCTCTATAATTTGAGATGTGGGACCTTTATGCAAGAAACTGGCTATAAAATTTTTTCCCCAATTTTCTACTTTGGCTACATAGCTTTTATTTGTACAAAACAATTTGATGTAATAAAAATGCTCTCTGTTTTGTTTATTCATAAATTATTTTCCTATCCATAAATCTGATAGGTAATATGTTCCATGCTTTTCTAATTTACTTATGATATCTTCCATTATGTCTAAGTCATGTATCTATTTTGACCTTATCTTGGTAAATGGTATAAGATATTGTTCTATATATAGTTTCTGCCAGACTAGTTTTTACTTTGCCTAGCAATTTTTACCAAATAGTGAGTACTTATCCCAGAAGCTTAGATCTTTGCATTTAACAAACACAAGGTTGCTATAAGCTACTCTATATTATATATCTACTCTATTCCACTGATCCATTATTTTATTGCTTAGTCAGCACCAGATAGTTTTGATAATTACCACTTTATAATACAGTCTAAGATCTGGTACTGCTAATTCTTTGATATTCTTGGCCTTTTGTTCTTCTAAATGAATTCTATTATTTTTTCTAGCTCAGTAAAATAATTTTTGGTAGTTTAATTGGGATGCCACTGAATATGTAAGTTAGTTTAGGTAGTATTGTCATTTTTATTATATTGCCTCAGCCCACCAATGAACAGTTAATATTTCTTCAATTATTTAAATCTAACTTTGTTATGGTTTCATGGTGTGTGTTGTGGCAGCACCATCTCAAAGAATTCAGTCAGACAACCTCTAATCCAAGTGTAGGCATTTATTGAGGATTGACACCCCTCAAAAGCAGACTAGGTTCCAAGAGGAACCAGCAACTTAGTAAGACAAGACAGATAATTTTATAGTGTAATGATGCTAATTACACAACAGGAATTATGAATATTAAAAAGACAGGAGGGGTTTGTTAAGGGATTAGGTAATAGGGAAGGGATCCCTTCTACAGTTCAGTGGTCAAACATCCTGGTCGTGCCGCCTTGTGATTGGCTAGCTACTGTGGTCCTGTCTTGGGCTAAATGGATGATGTCATTGTGGTTGAGTACAAGAATATACCTGTTCAAATATGTTAATTGGATCTGGGGACAGTGGCTAGCTAGGGGCAATGGCTATATTGAGTCTGGAGGCCTGAGGTGTGGTTAAAGCCAGATTGTGTGATTAAATCAGGACATGCCTGCTATTCAGTGGGGCCCATAAGGAAGTTAGATTATTGGCGCTGGGGGCAGCTTTATTAGGGTTCCATCAACTTCATTTCTATAAAATGTGTTTTGTAATTATGTTCATATAGTTCCTAGGTATAGTCCCAGGTATTTTATATTGTCTATGATTATTTTAAATGAATCTCTTATTATTTCTTCTTGCAAGGTTTTGTTGGTGATATGTGGAAATGCTGATGATTTATCTGAGTTTATTTTATATTCTTCTACTTTGCTAAAATTATTAATTGTTTCAACTAGCTTTTTAGTTGAATCTCTAGGATTTTCCAAGTATACTATCATATCATCTGCAAAAGGAGATAGTTTTATTTCCTCATTGCCCATTCTGATTCCTTCCACTTCTATTTCTTCTCTTATTGTTATTGCTAGCATTTCTAGTGCAATATTGAATCGTATTTTTGCTCCTTTTTTGTTGATGAAGATGTTTAAAAGGATAAATTTTCACCTGAGGAATGCTATAACTGTATACCAAAAGTTTTGCTATTTTCTCATTGTTGTTTTCTTTAGTGTAATTATCTATTTTTACTTCTTCTTTGATTCACTAATTCTCTGGGATTAAGTTACTTAGTTTCCATTTAAATTTTAATCCTTTATTGTAATACCCTTTATTGATTATAAATTTTGTTGTATTGTGGTCAGTAAAGGATTTTTGCTTTTCTACCTTTGTGTTTAACATGTTTATACACTGTCACATCATCAGTCTTTGTAAAGGTTCTATGCACAGCTGAGAATATGTATATTCCTTTTCATTCCATTCATTATTCACCAGAGATTAACTATATCTAACATTTC